GTCTCTGCCATAAGGTAAAATAAATGCCTTTGGGTATGTTCCCAAGAGGGGTATAGTTGTTTTGTACAGTAGTTCTATATTCCTTTTTTTTTTAAGAGTGACAGTATAAGTGTCTACTCCCACCAGCCTTGAATAAGGTTCCTGTTTCCCATACGTTCTTTCAGCATTTGTGATTTGTTTTCTTGATCTTAGCCATTCAGACTGCAATGAGATGGAGTCTCGAAGTGATTTTAATTTACATTTTCCAGATGGCTAAGCATGTTAAACATTTAAAGAAAATATTTATTGGCCATTTATGTTTCTTTTTTAAAATCTGTTCATTTCATTAGCTCATCTATTGACTGGCATTTTTCTTTTTGTGGGGGAGGAGTGTGTTTATGTTTTGCAGGTTTTTTAAAAATATTCTATATATCAAGCACTCATTTTCAGTATAGCTGGAAGAATTTCACTCCTTGTCTGTAAGATGTTCACTCTGCAGATAGTTTCACCTGCTATTCAGGAACTTAAATTTTATGTGGCCCTATTTATTGATTCTCTGGGCTATCTATTTTCAGTACTAGTGGGGAACTGCTGAAAAAGTTCTTAACTGTGCCTATAACCTGAACTAGATTTTGAGAGTTTTCCTCTTGCATTTTCAGTTTTTAAATTAAGTTCTTTGATTCATTTTGATTTTTGTGCAGCATTGAGCTACATGAATTTCATTTCATTCTTCTGCTGGTAGGTACCCAGTTAGCGTGGTGGTGCTGGTGTTAGTGCTGGTGGTGGTGATGGTGGGGCTGCTGGGGCTGCTGGTGGAGGTGGTACTGGTGGTGGTGGTGATGATTGTGCTGATGGTGCTGATAGTGTTGGTGGTAGTGGTGATGGTGATGGTAGTGGTGGCAGTGTGTGTGTGTGTGTGTGTGTGTGTGTGTGTGTGTGTGTGTGTATTGTTTGTACACATGTGTATATACCTATGACCATGCTTGCCTACAAGGCATTGTGTGTCATCTTCTGTAAATCTCTACCTTGTTCCTTTGAGGCAGTATTTTTCAATGAGCGTAGAACGAGCAAGCATTTTTATGCTAAGCTGGCAGTCAGCAAGCCCCTCTAAACTAAGGTCCTCAGGAAAGTGCAACAAGCACCTTAGCTACTGAGTCATCTCAACAGCCCCACCTCCTTGAGACAGTTCATCACAATGACAAGAAAAGTAACTTACAAAATTACTATCAAAACATAAAGATTCTCCCCTGAGCAAAAGGGAAGCCATACCTGGTACTGGAAACCTAGACAAGCAATGAGTGCAATGAAGTCAGCTATTGGAGGAAAGTCTTTAACCATCAGTTTACTAAACCACCAGAATCCCCAGCAAAAATCTCTAAAGATTTGCTTATATACCCACAGATAAGTAGAGTCTTCACCTCTCTGTGCAACAGACAGACACCACTACATAATAATATAATAATAAATATAAATATAATAAATAATAACCAACCGAAATGTGGAGTTGTGAAGCCCAGTCCCATTGGATACATCTACAAACATGCCCACACCTAAAGTTTAGGGAACATTGTGGGAAAGATTTTAGAGCCAGAAGATCAGAGAGTTTGCTGTGAAACTGTCTCCTAGAAATATCAAAAGTTATACCCATAAAGTCTTGCCAACATGACTGTCTAAATATGAGCTGAACAAGGATGACAATAATACACTTGACAAAGTGGATGGGGGAAAAGCCCACAAAGCTTCAACCATACACAAGAGCTATAGGCAACTGAGGAAAATTGTGAGCAGGAGGAAGTGGTCTTTTCCAGAGAAGAGTACACCAGCTGGCTTTCCAGGGCAAAATGCTCATTCCCCAAAGATGTACATACAAGCAACATTATATGGACTAAGTAGATATATTTAGGAAAATATATGTATACACACACACACAGAGAGAGAGAGAGAGAGAGAGAGAGAGAGATTCAATAACAATTGGTGAGGTAAAAGGGCCATCAATTTTGAAGGAGAATGGAAGGAGGTACAGAAGAGGGTTTGAAGGGAGGAAAGGGAAGGAAGAAATACTGTAATTATATTGTAATGTCAAAAATAAAATTAAAGCAAAAAATAATAATGAAAATAAAATGCTAGAGATGCTGTTGCTGGGAAAGGTTTATACACTATTCATAAGAAGGGAAATTATTATATCCATCATGAGAAACACTATGTAATTCCTTAAACAAACACAAATAGAATCACCACATGATCAGGGATGCCACTCCTGGCTGTGATATATCCAAAAGAAACAAACTGCTTTATGCTTTAGCACTATTGAGAATAGCTGGATTATGAAATCTGGCTAGATGCCTACCAACAAATGAATGGATAATGAAAAATGGCAGATTTACAAATGGAGTGTTACTCAGTCAAAAGGATGGAGAAAACCACAAAAATTATAGGAAAGTAATACAACTAAAGATCATCATGTTAAGCAAAATAAGCCAAACACAGAAAGACAAGTATTACATGAGTTCTCTAACAGATGGAAAATAGCTAAAAGATCTGAAGGAGTATAAAAGAATGGGAAGGGATTAGCAGGGCAATGGGAAGAGAGAAGTTTTTGGTAAGTAAAGATAGGTGGGAGGATGAATACCACCAAAGAAAACACACACACACACACACACACACACACACACACACACACACACACACACACACACACACACAAAGATAAACAAAAGTGAATACTCTAAAATACATTCAGAGCTCTAGACACAAATCAAAGACTGAAAAAAGACACATCAGGGGCTAGAGAGATAGCTTATCAAGTAGGAGCACTGACTGACCTCTTGTGTAGAAGACCACAGTTTAAATCCCAAAAGTGACATGGCAGCTCACAGCTGTCTGTAACCCCAGTCCCAAGAGATCTGACCCCCTCCTTTTGCTTCCACAGGCACTGCAGGTGTACATGGTGCACAGTTATATATGCAGGCAAAACATCCATACACATCACTTTAAAACAAAGAAAGGAAGGAAGGAAGACACATTAGTTGGAAATCTCAGAACATCAAGCATAAAACAAAATGTACCAAAACAATTTGGGTGTGAGATAACTAAATCATGAACAATTAAAATGACATAATGACATATATATATACATATACATATATATATATGGTGTCACGGCTCCACCCTGATGTGGATCACATTACAAAAGTAAAAGACCTTTACTTGTCCTGGGGAGGAACTTGTTCAGCATAAAAGTCACAGGCTTTCCTACATAGCTCTGCATTCTTAGAGAGAGCTAGCCAGGAAAATTCATGGAGTTGGTGGCTGTAAGAGGTGATATTTCAAGAAATATAACTTCATAGGCTTTAATATGGTATATCCCATGTATTTGGTATGAATGCAACTCTCGATTC